GTCCTAGGCAGCCAGTGTCCCTCCACTGCTGGAGCTCCAGGCTCTTTTCAGCCTGCCGTTTGCTCATCTGTCGCCATCTCGCAGCCCACAGTGGCTGCGGGACTGAACCCTTTGACGTCTGCAGCCTCCAAGGAGATGAGAGAGGTGGAAGTTCTCTGTCTCCTCCAAGGACACAGCTTGTAAATAGTGCTTATCCTTAGAGGGACAGAGGCCACACCTAACCGCAAGAGGGGCTGGGAACCTGGCCAGAAGATAGCTTCTTCCTTGTTACCCAGCATGAAAGGGAGAGTGCCATTAAGAAGCCAGCAGTGAACTCTAGTTCACTTAGAGAATTTTAACATCAATTTTCAAGAGGCTTTAAATATAATTTAAGAGATTCAAGTATCTTCATACTACTTTAAATTAAATATACTAAATTCTGAGAATTTTAGAGAAACTAGGTAAGGATGCCACATGAAAATGCACATTTAAGTTATATTTTGAAGTATATTTTGGTTGCTTGTTGGTCTGGGCTTTAACTATATCCATTAAGTCACTTAGATGAGGTCACCAAAGAAGGTCAGAATCATTTCAGAAATACTGCTGGAAAAATGAATGTATACTTGTTAGAAGAATTTGCTTTTTATAAGTTTAGTTCCTTTTCGATATGTAAATAAAGCTTATTCCATTGCGAGGCCTCTAAAAGCCTGTTATGGCCCAAGTCTGCAGACGGGAGCCCACACAGGCCCTAGGCTGGAACATCCAGGGTACCAAGTGCTCTGTGGAAGGGGCGCTGATGGCACCCTGATGACAGGGTGGAGGATAGCCCTTCTGCATCGCCTTCTTACTGGGCCATTCCGTATGACCAGTGTGGTTGAGGGGAGGAGAGAAGGATAAGGGAGTGTGCAGGGGCCTTCCTGTGAGACCCAGCCTTGCCCAGCTACCAAGCGTGGACCTGCTGATTTTCAAAACTGAGTGAGAATCAGTGGAGAGGATGACAGGGATTTTGAGGTTAACAAAAGAAAAGAGAAAGGCCCCATCAGTCAACAGTCTTAACTATTTCACTTAAGGGATAGAGGTAAATTAAACATTAGTTAAGAGAGTTCTGCTTTAAAATTGATTGCAAAAGTAAGTTCCAGAAAGCCTAACTCCCTACAGCTGAGTTTCTTGGCTTGCACACTTGTTGCCTTTCACACTGCATTATGGTCAACTCCTTAGTGACAGCTCACTCAAGCAAGGGGACATGCAGCAGTGGCCCGCCTGGCACTGCCTGCACTCACGTGTGCTCAGTGGGTACAGGCAGGGCACAGACGCACTCTTTGTGGCTTCACATCAGAGTCAGTTCAGTCTCAGTGAAGAGATCATGGAGACGCTTTGTGCTACTCCTGAGAGGAGTGTAGGATGAATTAGGAGAGCTCTCTGCTGCGTAAACCCAGGCAGCCCCAGCACACTGCACCTCGTCAGCCCAAGCTGCCTCCTTCAGGTCTGCAGGCTGACTGCTGCAGCATAGCCACCAGCCTCTGCTCACCCACCACACTTTCCCCCGCCTTGCTGAGCAGTTCAGGAGCCTTGCATACTCGTTCCCGGGTAGCTGTCCAGCTGTGCCCAGCACCCAGCCATTTCATCCACGCCTGTCCTTTCTGAGCAACCTTTGGGCTCCTGGCACCAAGTCCCAGGGAGTCTGGGCCCCTGAAGCCTTGCTTTGGCCCAGCCTTGTCCATTTGCAGCTTTTGAGAGGATAGAAATGTCTGTATCTGCTCTCTCCACTTCAGTAGCTACTAGCCATGTCGTAGCTGCTAAGCGCTGCTGAGCACTTGAACTGTGGCTGCTGCTATGGGATGCTCAGCGTTAACCAGCGAGGGCTGGTGGCGGCTGTGTTGGACAGCACAACTCCAACCTCAGGGTACTGTCCTGTCGTTCTGTACAGATTCAGCGGGGTCCTCTGAGCTGAGGAGGGAGCCGGTGGGAACTGGGATTTGGCGGTATTCTGAAAGCTTCACAGGAGCTAGAGTGTATTCTTTTTTTTTTTTTTCCATAGAGTAAGTTAAAATGCATTTGGGAGATATCCTTGGGTATTAATATAGCAAAGAATTATAATAAAGGCTAGCAGTTCTATTTTGTTTCGTATTGTTTTATTCACATATAGGACAGTGAAGTACCATTTGAGCTCAAGGAAGTTTTATGCCGTAGAAGGCTGAGCCTCGATGGGTTTGCGTGGCGCTCACAAACCGTGCCAGGTACACAGCTCGGAGAGATGGCCTTGTATTAAAAATGGGGCAGCCTGATGTCCCTGCCTGGTTTCCTGAGAGGGTTTAAATTTAGATGTCTATAATAGGCTCTCCCTAAAAGCCCAGCATGTATAGTGTAGGCACTTCTCAGGGTTCTCTACCACAAAGCTAAGTGGGCTGGCTTCTTGATGAGATTAAAAGGTGTTGAAGGTAATGTGTGTTTTTTTTTCCATGATTTTGTGTGCGATAGCCTCATTTTTCTCCCTTGCCAGGCATCTGAAAAAGCTCTTAATATATTGACAAATGCTGTAAATCCATTGTTACCCAAAGGTAGTTGAGGAAAAAAACCCTGAACTGCAGACATGCTAATAAGCATTGACCTTGAATCTTTTTTTTTTTTAAATGGAATTGTCAGCACCTTTAGGTAAAAGTAATACCTAGTAATAATCTTTATTGGGACCAGCAGATGGCATAATGTTACATTGCTGGACTCCCATGTAGTCTGCTGTGGTTTGAGTCCTGGACCCAGCAGCTGTCAACTCACTGAGTGTGTGTGCATGCGTGCTTGCCCACGTGCCTAAGATCCTGAGAGGAGAATGGAGGAGAAGGGATTGTGGCATAGCTATTCCCCCGGGAGTGATTTCTCACTTTCTGTCTTTCTCCGATGAGTACATACGCCCTATAGCAAAAAATCTCTCTCTTAAAAAGAAAACCTTTATTTTCACAAAGAAATATGTTGTCATACATACAGCCCTTTTGACCTATCTTTAATTTTCCCATTTATGACAGAAAGGAGGATGACAAATACTTACTTTCCACTTGGCTCTGGAAAAAAATAAATGTATGACCAGGCTCACTAGCAGAGAACTCTTCCTTCTCTTCCTCCTCCTTCTCTTCCTCCTCCTCCTTCTCTTCCTTCTCCTCTTCTTCTTCCTCCCCCTCCCTCCGTCCTCCTTTCTCCTTCTCCTTCCTATAGGGCACATGCGCTCATGGGCAGCTGGGGATGGCAGGGGAGAAAGGACCCCTCAGAGCGGATGGGGGGGCACTCCCTGCTCCTCCATTCTCCCTGTGGGGTCTTGGGCACACACGCACAGACATGCAGTGTGTTTTTACTCTGTTGGATTCGGTACTTGAACCACACAGTCAGCCATATGGGATCTCACCGTATTAACCTCTATGCCACCTGGCTAGCCCAACAAGTTCTTACGTAATCCTCAGTGCCACTGGGCGCAGTAGGTATGGGCATCCCATTTTATGAGAGAACCTGAGGTGTACAGTGTGGATAGCCAGACCCATCCCATGGCAGAGCTAAGACTAAGATCCGTAACTCTGATAGGAAAGTAAGTGCTGTGTTTTAATGGGATAGTTGCCTGAAAGGAAGCCAGGGAAGAAAAGACTTGGAAATAAGCCTCACAGTCTCTGGAGTGTTTTTCTCTTATGTGCTTAGTGATTAGCATTCAAAGTCTTAAAATGCAATGACCAGTGTTGCAAAAGAGGCAACACAGAAAGACT